AACACAACAACAACACAACAACAACACAACAACAACACAACAACAACAATACAACGATAACAAAACAACGACAAAAAAAAAACACAATAACGCAATAATGACGACAACGCATAACAATAACAACAACAACAACACAATAACAATAACATAACAATAACAGCAACACAACAACATTACAATCACAACAGCACAATAACAACAACGGATAACAGTAACAAAAATGACACAATAATAACAATAACACAATAACGACAACAGCATTCAACAATGTAAGTTGTTTTCGAGATTATGACATATGATGGAACGTCCAGGTAATTTACAATTACTATCGCGATTATTTACAGTGAAAATATTCGTGAAGTAATCAACTAATTAACTGGCATTTTCTTCCTGTTTGCTTTTATCAAATTATTGTGCATTGTCATAAGTAATACAGTGCTATAAACTTAATTGGTTTAATTTTTAAAAAATTTTTTTAAAAAAAAAGGAAAAATTTGTTTTTTTTTAAAAAAAAAAAAACTATGATTATTGATTGAAGCACCTGCTCAATTTTTAGCAAATTTTCCACTTCAATTGGCCATTCTTGCATTAAATACTCAATGTTTGGCATCGGTTTCCCATACATCACAATATCGGCTGGCTTAGTTCGATGTATTTCCTTGAAGAAAAATGAAAAGAGAAATGAGAAAAAATTCACAATTATGCTTAATCTTAAGCTAGCACTGATCAATTCATTTTTCCTTTACAATTAATTTAAGCTTTGAACAAAAATGAATAATTTTAAAAAGTAACGAGTTAAAAAAAAATATGCATATACAATTTACAATTTTAAAAAAAAAAAGCAATAAAAAAACCTTAATACTACTAATCCAATGTTCAATTTCCTCGATATTTTCATCAGCTCTCTCCAGTTTTTTAACTGGTATTTCTTTCACCGATGTGCTTGTACAATCCTTCAATTCGTTGCGAATTTTCAAATTTAAAATGATCGGATCACTTTGCTCCATTGCTGGCTCATCCAACAATACCAAACCCAAATCATTTTCCACCTATCCAAAAACATTTTAACCAAATTTTAAAAAAATAATGAAGCTTTATTGAGAAATTTATCACTGTAATATTTGTTTTTGATTTTAATTATTGATAAATTTCATACATAAATATTTGTACTCACAATACAGATTATGCTTATATTTTAATTAAAAAGTAAATTAGTTTAGTTTAAACAAACTTATAAAAGTACGCAAAAATTACGATTAAAAATTTGCTACTTTTAAAAGTGATTTATTAATCAAACTGATGCATTGTTTGAATAAATTTTCCCACTTATGTAATTTTACCAAAATTTACAAATTTTAAAAAAAAAAAATTCATTATTTGCAAAAGAAATTTATTAATTCAGACAAAGTAACATTCTAATAAAATTGCAATTTAATTGTTAGATGAATTGAAAAACTGCAATAAAATGTTTCAACATACTGATAAATAAAATAAATTGCACAAAAATCATCGCATAAGACAGTGAAACACAGTTTGCAAAATTTGCATTTACAAACAAAAAAGAATTAAAAAATTGTAACAAATTTTCAAATATTTACAGTATATTCTTTTTTTCTTTAAAAATATCCAATTATAAGTAAGGAATAAAAAAATTCAATATAATCAATAATGGGGGGGAAAAAAAACTAAAAGTATAATTTGAGCATTTAAATATTTATTCTTAATTTTTTTTTTTGTTCCTACACGTAATTTTTGCAAACTGTCTATGCATTTATTTTAAATCATGTAATTCTTGAAATTGAAACCTTATCTGGTCGTGGTATTTTGATGAATGCATCAACATCACCCACAGCTGGTATGTAATCCAAAAGAAACGGCTTTAAATTTCTCTCAATACATATCATTTTTGCTGTATACG